AAACGCCCTCCCCTGGAATGAAAATCAATGTTGAGGGAGGAGATAATATGATCCCTGCAAATGTCTGTGGGATTCTGCTGATGAGTTATTTTCTGGGATTTGACACTCTTGAATCATGAAAAAATGAAGCAGAATCTTTTTTGCAACAAATCTCGTCATGACAAATTGTTGCTCAAAATAATTTCTTTTAGGTCTCTGCAGTTTAGCAAGGGTGTTGGTAATTCAAGTCTATAGAGACACAGCATTATTTTCACATTTTTCATTGCAACAAAGTATTTCTTCTTGGGTTTTTGTTTCTTGAAAACAATCCTGCTGCATTGCATTTCCACAAACCACGGGCTGACATTTATAGAGAAGAAAATGACACCCAGTCCCAGCTAGGTGCATGTGATAGGATCTTTTTTTTTTTTTCATCAGATGATTTTAAACTTGATAACTTTCTCCTTTTAAAACAATATGCAATTGCGTGAGAAATTCCCAAATGCTGCGACTGTTATCAGGTAAAGTTGACAACAATTTTCAAGATTACATATGTATCCTAAATACACAAGAGATAATGAATTAATTGTTCAAATTACGTCAAGTGGAGTTATGCCCGTATTCTTATCAAGAAGATATTGAAAAGTTCTAAAACTTTTGCTTTTATATCGAGGGTTGGTGCTTATGGTGCAGTTAAATTTAAAAACATTGGGTGCAACTAAATTTTTTTTTTCAAGTTGGAAGAGTGAGTGAGACAAAGCCAAAAAGTTTTCAACATGAGTAATTACAGGCCTTTTGCTTAGTTTGTTTCGCATGAAGGAATATTTTGCAGCACACGCCCTGAAAATATGCCCAAGTGATTATTTCATCAGAAAAGGGATGAATCTTAATTGAAATGGGGAGCTTTGATCCCTTGATTACAGTTAAATGACTTGATACACAGGATAACTTGAAATCTTCTGGCTAAAATTACCCCATTATGGAATTAACTTTTTCAAAAAAAAAAGAATTCATAGAAAGAAAACACTTATTTGTATTTGTTTGAACCATCTGTGTAGAAATTCAATAAAAATTTGGTACAAAACAAAGAACAAGAATATCTAGCACTAAAAAATAAAAATAAATGAGTGAGCAATGAAAATTCCACCAAGAAACTTAATAAAAAAACCACCATCAGAGGTTTGTTTAAAGGTCAGTACATTTAAGAACCAAATTTTGATTTATGATTCTAGACATATATGATGATAAAAAGTGCAAGTTGAAATTTTTTCTTAAGAAAGCCCAAAATGTATCATCCCAGAAAAGTTTGAATATCTTATGTGCTTTAATATGTTCTCAGTAATTGCCTTGTGCTGTGATTTCCCCTTTTTATTTCTGTCATCTGAAAATAAAAAATATGGTAACTTATGCATTTGTATATACTATGATGTATTTTTTCTTTTAATATCCATATGTGATGCATTATATTTTTCCTTCTGATATGCCAGAATAATGTGTTTAATTTTTTTTTT